ACCACCTGAACCAAGCTCCCAGCCCAATTTTACTTTTCTTATTGTTCTAAAAAGGTTTCACTCTTTGCTGGGGGTGAACCTGAACTGTGATTCTCTTATGTATGCATCCTGGGTAGCTGGATGACAGATGTGTACCACCCCACCCAGCTTGTAATAGGATGAGATGGAGTCTCCCAAACTGTTTGCCCTAGGCCTCTTGAGTAGCTGAGTATAGAATTTTTTTTTTTAAACTTATGAGGGTGCCTAGCTGAGAGAGTCAGTACCAGACTCCCTGAGTTCCAAATCTCCGTGTGCCTCTGACCAAGCAACTTAACCTCTCTGTGCTTTCATCCTTATTTACAAAATTGAGCAGCTTCCCAACATGAAGTCAAGGTCCTTTTTTTTTTTTTTTAAATCATGGGGCTTGAACTCTATGCCTGGGCGCTGCCCCTCAGCCCTACCACTTGAGCCACAGTGCCACTTCTGGTTTTCTGGTCCCACAGATTTTCCTGCCTGGGCTGGCTTTGAACCATGATCCTCAGATCTCAGGCTCCTGAGTAGCTAGGATTACAGGTGTGAGCCACCTGCACCTGGCTAGGTCCTGTACTTTTAAACTTGTTTCTTGTCAGGAAGGAGAGAACTGCTGTGAAGTGGTATCTTGGAAAGAGGAAGTTATTTTGGTCAAGGCTCAAGCCTGCCCTGCGCCAGGGAACCCCACAACAGGAGGATCTGCTGTCTTGGCAAAACTTAGGGATGTTGGATCCCGGAGGGAGAACTAAAGCTTCTCCCTAATCATCTCTCTTGTTACAGATCTGTTAGTAAATATTAAAGAAGAAATGTTTCAGCTAGGTACTTGTGGCTCACACCTGTAATCCTGGCTACTCAGGAGGCTGAGATTTGAGGATCACAGTTCAAAGCCAGCTTGGGCAGGAAAGTCCATGAGACTCTTATCTCTAAAAAACCAGAAGTGGAGCTGTGGCTCAAAGTGGTAAGAATGCTAGCCTTGAGTGAAAAAGCTTAGGACAGCATCCAGGCCCTGAGTTCAAGCCCTACAACCAACTAAAAAAAAGAAGTAGGAGAAAAAAATGTTTCTCTACACATACCAATATTGCCAACAAATAGAAATGAGTTTGTCACCTACGAAAAAGTTTCATACACACACACACACACACACACACACACACACACACACACACACACACACACACACACACACACACACACACACACACACACACACACATATATTAAGGGGAAAAATTAGACTTAGGAAAAAAAAGAAATCCTGACACACACAATATGGATGTATACTGAGGATGCCAAACTATGAAATCGGCCTGTCAAAAATGACAAATACTCTATGAGTCCACTTACATGAGGTTCCTAGAGCTAGCAAACTAAGAGACAGAAGTAGACTGGGGCCTCCAGAGGCTGGGAAGAGGGGGAAATGGGGAGCTAGTGTTTGTTTAATGGGTGTAGAGTTTCAGTTTTACAAGGTGTAAAGAGTTCTGGAGACTGGTTGTACAACAACGTGAATGTACTTAACACCACTGAATTGTGCACTTAAAATGTTAAGATGATTAATATTATGATATGTGTATTATACAATTAAAAATAGAAAACAGTTGAGAGTTTCAAAATGGTTCGTAAAATAAAACCCAACTCTATAAAAGAAACATATCCAAAACACAGTGATTCTGAAAGGCTAACAATAAAGAAATGAGGAAAGATGTACCAAGTAAATGTAAACAGAAACCACACCGGGGCTGTGATCTGACACAGAATGAGACAGGACTCGGGTCCAAAAGCACTGCAGGCAATGAAGATGGAAGGCTCTGCTGTCCAGATATGCATCGGACACCCCTGTAGCAGGCCCACACAGGGAAGTCACAAGAAATGCAGGAAAGAAAAACAAAACAAAACAAAAACAGAAATACACTTACAGGAGACCAAAACACACCACTCTCAGACCAAGAGTCCCAAAGGGTCAAAAACTAAGAATATAGAAAACCAAAACAACTATCTATAAGCTACAATTTCCTGTTTGTACATCAAATATGTACCCCAAAAGAGGGAATACTTTTTTTTAAGCATTCATCATGAAAGCTGAGCATACATTAAGAACAAATAAAATCTCAGTCTATGACTTTGAAAGGTCTGAGCCTTATGATTTTTTCCCCCAACAGCACAGTCTCACCCAGCTGTTCCAGTGGACGCAGGATGTTGGACATCCTTTTGAGAGCAGCAGCAAGTACGCAGCAACACCTGGTACTGTCTGTGCCATTGCTGCTTCATCATTTTGCCCACTTTGGTTCTGACATCTGTCAATCGGATGGGATATGAAAACAACGTTTTTTCTTTTCTTCAGTGTGCACTGTGCCAGGGACTGTGCTCTAGTTGTATTAGATAGCTAATTGGCCAGACACTGGTGGCTCATACCTATAATCCTAGCCACTCAAGATCATGGTTCTAAGCCAGCTCAGGCAGGAAAAGTCCAAGACTCTTATCTCCAATTAAACTCCCAAAAGCCAGAAGTGGAACTGTGGCTCAAGCTAACCTTGAACACAAAATTGTGCTCAGGAACAGCACTCAGGCTGAGTTCAAGCCCCAGGACCAGCACACACACTCACACACAAAAATAAAAAGAAATAGCTAATTATTTTCACAGTGTGCACATACAAAAAGGAAACAAAAATGAAGAGGCAAAAAACTTCTTTGGCCTGAGGTTTTTTGTGGGACCTTGAGAGTCGAATCGTTGAACTGAACAGAGGTGCTTAATTCTTTTGGCAAGTGTGAGGATTTCCATATGTAGCTCTTTCTTTTTGAGAGAGAGGAGACTTCAGGAGAGAAGGGAGGTAAACTGCCCCACAGTCATTACTCAGCATATCCAAACAGGTAGTCTCTTCTCCACCCCTGCCACCACTGTACCCCTGACAAAGAGAGAAACACAGAACCCTTTGATAAATGTCAACTGAAATAGAGCAATCAGCTGAAAGCCATTTGCTGAGCTGTGTGACTGCCCTGGGCTTCACGTTTTCCTTTATTCATTTATCATGATATACGGCTTTGGCCAACACACACACAGGAGAGAAATTGTTGACATGTGGGACCCAAGTACAGAAAATCTTTCATTCTCCCCACCCCCACCCCGTCTGGTCCCCAAATAAGTTTTTGTTTATTTAAAGACTACAGAGGATTTGGCTGTTAAGAACCAAATGCCTTTGGAGTGGAATTACAACATAATTTATCATTTCCTCTGTTTATTAAAAAAATCCTGCATCTTTGAGAAGCACATTTGCCGTGAGTGAGGGATTTGGGCCACAAGAAAGCCTGTTTGCAGAGCTCTGTGTCTTGGCCTCCAAAAGGGGCTCCTTCATTCACCTTCTGTCCCTGTGCTCTTCTGGAGGATTTGTGATGGACCGCGGGATGACCACCGAGGGCTGGCAAACGGGGTTTGTCCTTTCATCCTTGACCTTAATCCTGACCTTGAAGTCTCACCAGCTATGTCACATGGGCAGAGGGAGCAGAGCAGCCCTTATTACCTCCAGCATGAATCTGGAGGGGGTCAAACAGGAAGAGGTCAGACATGGCTCCCAAAGCATTCCACCAGGCCCCACTGCCAGCCAAGTGGCCCCATTCTGAAGGCAGACACCTGGCAGACCCAGAACCACCACCTCCTCTCAAGGCGCCACACAGAGCCATGGCAGGCATCACAGCTGACCCCTCCTATCTGTGCTCCCAGCATATCATACATGACAACCCATGGGTACCCATTAAATGCTTACCAGGAGGCAGGAGGCACCGGCTCCTTTGAGCACTTAGAGGTGCTAAGAGGGACACAGGTGGCCAGAGAGGCTATGGACATTCAGCCTTGTCCTATGTCCCTCCTCATCTGTGTTCTTAATAATGGCAGGAAACTTGCCCTGAGTTCTGTGATCTGTTCAGCACATCAAAGGAGGAGGTTAGGCACCCTGTTTGTAGAAGGGCAGTCAACAAGTAAGGGTGGCCCAGACTCATGACTGGAATTGGAAGTGGGGGCAGTTTTATGGGGTTCATTCTCAGCCTGTGGGATCTGACACTATCTCCAGGCAGAGTGCACTGGAATTGATTACAGTGCAAGATGCTTGCTGGCCCCTGGAGAATGGTGTGAGGAAAGCCTCACAAATCTGGATGCAGAAGTATTTTGTGATGACCGCGAGAATATAGTAGGAACAAGGTCGTTTCCTCCCTCGGACACCAGTGAGCCGAACAGATGACAGAGTCAGGCCTCTATGTGAATCCTATTCACTAGCTATGTAACCTTAGGCAAGAAACTTCACATTTTTGTAAAGTGAGGCTGACAATGAATAATGAAAACCCTCCAGTGGCTTCTAGCTTTACTCTTTTAGGAGGATTTCTTACCTAATATTGTCATCTACATTTTCTTATTTGTCAATGGAAATAACGTTCATCTGTCAAGTTACTGTGAAGATTACAAATAATGCCTAGAAATGAAAGGGAAGGAAAGAGGGAGGGAGGAAGAAAAAGAGGAGGGGGAAAAATTCTAGTACCCAAAGGCTGCCACAATAAGCCATGTCTGGCCCTAGGGGAAAAGCATCTTACTACCATATCCAGGAAATGCCCAGGACAAAGACAAGAGTGGAAAATGACAGCATGATAACCATAAAAAGAAGAAAAGTAGCCATCATTTGCTGAGTAGCTACTATGCATCATTTATTCACAATACAAATACATGAATGCCTACAAATGTTTCTCTCTTCTGTTCCTCTCTCTAGGTGTGATGCCAAGAAACAGACTGGGGTTCAAATAAAAGTGGTACGTTAAACTATGACAGCCTAGGCTAGGGGGACAAGAAGACTTCCCAAGAAGACATGACATCCAAGGTGAACAGGACCAGATAGTGAGGAGAGAGAGTGGTCCAGGCAGAGAGCAGAACAAATGTGAAGATAATCCAGAGGTGAAAACATCATTGTTTTATATAGAGATTTTTTTTAGAGATTATCTATCCACACCAACTTTATTTTTTTCTTTGTAGTTATTTTTTTAAATTTATTTAGATTTTATGACGCGAAAATGGGCCTTGAGCAAAGGGGTTCAGGCTCACATCAGTCCAAGCAGAGATGGGGCCTGATTCACAGAAAAAGAGGCTCCTGCGACTAGGAACCGTATGTGATAGCCTGCCAATGGTCCCAGGCTGTGGGGACCCCATGGACAAGGCAACTGCCTGAGGAAAGGTCCTTTGCCAGTAGCGCCCTCACTCTCCACACCAGAAGGCTCAGAGCAGAACAGTGGGGATGGGGGGAAGGCTGGGCCTCTCATCAATGACAGTACAGTTACAACCTTCTGTGTGGCTGGCCCATTTGCCATCTATGGGATCCACCAGAAACCAGGCTCTGGTGTATGGCTGGGCCACGGTGGACCTTCATCCAAGGAGTTCTTTGGTCTTCACTGCCAGATGCCTGTCCAGCTCTGCAGCTGTGTCATCGGCCATTTGGCTGATCTACAAAAACACAAAATAAGGTCGTTTGATTACTGGGGCTGCAAAAGGGTAGAAGGCCAAATGTTTCAGAAACAGGAAAAGGTTATCTGGGAATAATAATAGCAATAAAAGTTCACATCGAGTTATCAGCCAGGCACTGAACTAAAAAGTTTACATAGACATTCTTGTTCATTAATAACCACCCTTTAAGATATTATTATTAGCTGGGGACTGGTGGTTGGTTCATGCCTGTAATCCTAGCTACTCAGGAGGCTGAGATCTGTGGATCACAATTTAAGGCCAGCCAAGACAAAAAAGTCCATGAGACTCATCTCCTATTAACCACCCAAAAACCAGAAGTGGATGATGGCTCAAGTAGCATAGCACTAGTCTTAGGCAAAAACACTCAAGGATAGTGCTCAGGCTCTGAGTTCAAGCCCCAGCACTAGCACAAACACAAAAAAGATACTATTACCACTGATTTTAAAGACTAAAAAACAGAGACACTTATATCATTTACTCAGTATACACAGCAACAAAGTTGCAATCCCCAAATTTAACCTACAGTAGTCTGATTCTGCAAGCCAGCATTTAAACCCCACCCCACCCCACATACATACTGAGAACCTTCCATATATCTTTATACTGGGGTTTGAACTCAGAGATTTGCCAGGTAAATACTGAGAAGCCACACCTAAAGCCCCCTCTTTTCTTGGATCTATTGTATTTTGAGGATAGGGTCTCACTTCTTGCTCAGGTACACCCTTGTACTGTGGTCCTCTATTTTTTGCTTTTCATTGTACACGGGATAACAGGAATGGAGCACTGGCATAATGCTCCCGCTGCTTTTTGCTAAGATGACATCATAGGTTTCTCTTCTTAGGCTGGCTGAATGGCCATCTTCCCTGAACTCTCAGCTCCCGCTTAGCTTAGAATGATGGGCATGTACCACTGCACCCAGCGATGGGTTGAGAAGGAATCTTATAAACCTTTCTTGCCCTGGCCTTGGAGTGAGAGATCCTCCCTATCTTAACTTCTCACATAACTAGAATTACAAGCATGAGCTCCTGCCACCGGTTTGCCCTATCTCTTAATGAGCCTCTACAATGTCTTCTATCTCTGCTATAGAAAGCTTTTAGATGGACTGATAAAAAGAATATTAAGATCCCAAGAGTTAAGGAGAGGGGATATTTTAAGAAGAATTAAATATATCCAGTTAACAAACATGGAAAATTCAACAGACACTGAAGAAAAATGGTTCAGCTGTCATCAATGTTGATTTTTTTTTTTTTTTTTTTTGTCGATTGTGGGGCTTGAACTCTCGGCCTGGGCACTGTCCTTCAGCTCTTCAGCTCAAGGCGAGCGCTCTACCACTTAAGCCACAGTGTCACTTGCAGTTTTCTGGTGGTTTATTGGAGATGAGTCTCATGGACTTTCCTGCCTGGACTTGCTTTGAACCGTGATCCTCAGATCTCAGCCTCCTGAGTAGCTAGGGTTACAAGCGTGAGCCACCAGCACCCAGACAATGTTGTAATTTTTAATTACAATATTCAATGCCAACAAATTGTAGTGAAATGAGTAAGCTCATGTCACCGATAGAAATTCAAATTGATGCAAATATTCATGCTATTTAACCCCAGAATCTCTCAACTGGGAAATTATCACATGAATAGAATCTGAACATTGTTTCTTAGGTCCTGTGTGTAAAGACATTTATCATGGCTTTATTTTTAATAATGAAAAATCATAACATCTGAAGTTATAGAATGGGAAAGTAGTAAATGCATAGTCATTAAATAATGGTTAAGAACCTATATCTTATAGGAAAAATGTGCATATAAATAATATTCCAGTATCTATTCCTAAAATGCCTTGACTATTTTATAACAAGCACAGGTTACATTTGTAATCAGAAGAAGAAAAATTCAAAAAATGATTTAATGATTCAAGACCCTTATCATGGAGACATGGTCACTTTACCCTTCAATTAAACAGCAACACTCAAGATCCTGTTTATACACCTGTAAGAGAAGTGCTCTATAAAAGACATAAACAAAAAATTGAAGAACTAGAAGGAAAGTTTTCAAAAATATTAGCAATGTATCTTTCAGTGCTCAGCAGATAGGTAATTGATCACACTCAGCCCCCAGCCAGCACATAGCATATATCCAGTTCTCAGGAAATACTTACTAAGTGAATCATTCATGTTTTCCAAATGTTCTGCAATACCAGCGCTTCGAAGGCAACAGCATGGAGCCCAAGATCTGGGTGCTCAGCAGCACAGAGCTACTGGACATCTTTATTTGCTGACCACAGGTCTGGGCCAGGAATTGGGAACTAAGGGCAATTCAATAAGAAAGAGTAGAAACTGAAGAGGATTTTCAGCAATTTGTCCCAGTAGGGAGGTGGCCAGGCTCTCACTGTAGCCACAGCTGCACACTTTCCAGCTGGAGAAGCATTAGACTCAGAGTGATTAGACTCAGAATGGTAACTTGTTCCCCTGACTGACCCAACCACAGACCAAGATGCTCCAGCCCTGTAGCTGCCTTGTATGGAGTAGGCAGCAGTGCCCCGCAGCACAGCAGCATTTGTAGGCTGACAGCTTGGGGTAGCCAAGAACAAGGGCTATGAGGGCTACAAGCCTCCTGGGAAAAGTGGCACTGAGGACAGTGTGAGCACAGGGGTGGGGATGGAAACGAAAGAGAGATCCAGGGGTAACGATTCCATAAAAGTGGGGAGACAATGTATAAGTCATTTTTCCACTTGCAGCTCAGTTTCCTCAGTTATCAAATGAAGTTCCCCTTCTCAAAAATAATTGTGAGAGTTAAGCAAACTCATGACTATACAAGAGGATTTAAAGCAGGTTATTTCCTGTGCAAATGTTGGGGTTTTTTGGTTTGTTTTTTACTATCACATCCTGACACTTGTGTGTGTGCTGGTACCAGGCCTTGAACTCAAGACCTCACCCTCTTGCTTGGCTTTCTTACTCATGGCTGGCACTGTAGCACTTGAGCCATGCTTCCAGTCCAGCATTTTGCTGGTCAAGGAAATGGAGTTTCAGACATTTCTGTCTGAATTGACTTCAAACCAAGATCCTTCAGTTCTTAGCTTCCTGAGTAGCTAGAACTACAGGTATGAGCCATTGAAGCTTGGCTCTTGACTTCTTTCCTAGTCAATCAATCAATAAAAAGATTTACTAACTTTAACCATATTGTAGGTACAAACTGCCGCTGGGAACAGTCTAACTCAAGGTTCATCTTTTTCATCTTTATCACAATTCTTAAAATATACCAACAGCAACCTCCACTGCTGTATACTTACTTCATTTAAAATGTATTTGTGCACACAACCCCCTCACAGCATGTGAGATACCATATTTCCATCCGGCATAACAGAAATTTTATTTTGCCTGCCTATTGTGTAATAGTTCCTGTTGTGCAAAAGTCCTCTGTTACTTCATTCAAATTCAACCACTTTGCAAACCCCTTATAAAGCAGGTGAAACAGGTTCCATCCCCTTGACAGAGCAGCAAACCAAGATATAGAAAATTCACTATGCTGCCCAAGAGCAGAAGTGATGCTGAGCAAAAACCACTCCCACTCCCAGAGGCCAGTTTGATATCCTATTCCCTTTATAGAGACATCCTTCCTCATTCCAGCAGGATGTGCAAAGAGTCACTGAGAGTCAATTCCAGTCCCTTTAAGGTCACAAGGAAGGGAGAAGAATAGCATGGACAAATATGGTGAAAATTACCAAGGACCAGCAACCATACTTGTCACTTCTAGGTATGGTTGTGTCACTTGGTCCTCAACAATCCTATGGGACAGGCACTATTCCCACTTCACAGATGAGCAAAGAGAGGCTCAAGAAAGTGAAGCTGACCCTCATGGCTGAGAAGTAAAAGAGCTACAATTTGAATCTAGGCCTGACCAATTCCAAAGCAAGTGCCTTTTCCATGATCATATGCGGTCTCATGAAGAGCTTAACATTATCACCAACATACTGTCATCATCGTCGTCATCGTCATCATCGTCATCATCATCATCATCATCATCATCACCACAGGAAAATGAAGGGCATGAAAGGCAGGGTGCCACGAACAGCTATGGGCCCAGCCTGTGTGTAAACCATCCATACTCAGACTGGCTCAGGATGCCCACTGCCTCCCTTAGTTCAGTCTCCTGTCTGCTGCGTGTCTGCCGGAGCCCTCCTCTCCTTCAGCCTCACTAGCGCCCAGAGTCACTCACTGGAGAATAGCTGTTTCTCAGAGAAAGGCACAGTGAAAGAATCTTGGCTAGAGTTACGGGGGCTTCTGCCAAGAGCCTTGATGTTGAACAGGCCCATTTATAGCAATCTAAAGAAAAGGTAAAACAGCAGGCTGGCAGATGTTGGAGTCCAGAGCATGAAGACCCTTGGTCCTTCTTCAGTGGAGCTGACCTGGGCTGGAGGTAGGGAGTTTGAAGGGGTTGAATGACTATGAGTCAGACACAATGGCTGAGACAGAACCCACAAACTCATTTCATTCTTACACACCGAAGACTGAAGAACTTCTACAATAAAGTTTTTAAAACTCTGACCTCAAAAGAGTTTTAAAAAATGTTTTTAATGGGGGGAAAAAAACACAAAAATGGTTTCTAATCTCATCATCTTAAATGACTGCTTTTGGTATTTGATATGTCTTAGCTGCCAAACATTTTCTGCCTATATGACTTTTCTTTATAAAAATGAAAAATGAAAGTGCTTTGGATAGCTCACCATTTTATTATTTACTTATTTAACTGAATTGAATTTCTTGGAGGTACTAGTGAGTGAACCCAGGGCCTTGTGCATGAACAGGGCTAGGTCAAAGGATCTCAGTTTGAAGCCAGGTTGGAAAAGCCAAGTGGAACTCCATCTCCAATAGGCTAGCAAAATACTGGACTTGAGGTGTGGCTCAAGTGCTAGAGTGCTAGCGGAGAACAAGCAAGCTGAGCAAGAACATGAGAGTTTGAGTTTAAGCCTCAGTACAGACAGACAGACAG